CTTTATAGTCGCTTTAGGGCTTTGAATCAGTGAACCTGGTTGAGAATTTGATCTGAACTCAAGGACAATTTGGAGAACCATGAGTATCTTATACATCTCAAAATCAACTATAAACGAACAACAGAAACTGTATAAACGTGTTTCGGATAGTTTTGTCGGTGAGATCATCGTGCAGATTTTAGTTGACCCAGTAGATCAAATAATCTGACCTCTAGAACAATTTGAAGAACATAGAACTTCTAATACACCTTAAATTGATGTTGTTTGGACGTGTTTAGTTGCTAAGGACCTTGTATCAGTTATGGTTGATCAGGTAAATCATTTGATCTGAGCTCAAGACAGTTCTCCTATAAATCAAAATAAATCAAAAACGATCCGCAGAAACTTTATGAACATGTCTTTGTAGGTTTTGTCGCTGAGGACATCGTGCAGTTCATGGTTGAGCCAGTAGATCAAATAATCTGAATTCTAAAGCAACTTGGAGAACCTAGAACATCTCATACACCATCAATTACAACGAAAATGATGTGCATTATAGTCATGGACCTGGGTGCATAAACTTGCAATAATTATAAAAATTTGCCAAAAAAAATTTCATTCTGTTAAAAAATGTCAAAATTAAGCGGAAAATATGAACCTCACTGCTTATAACTTCTTTTGAATTTTCAACATTCTTATATGGTGGACGTCACTTATCCGTAGAAACAGTGAAAACATATTACTCTTTTTCCGAAAATGTAGGGTTACGTCGCTTTGCCTCCAGGCTTCCAAAACACATTTTTATCACGAAGAGAGTGTTTTCTGTGTATCTTAGGGTATAGATTATGAATATGAAGAAAAGTGAAAATTGAACATGGTGGCGTTTACGTCACTTTGTCATCTCACGGCAGTAAGGGCCTTGTACCGGTTATGACTGACCTGGTACATTATTTGATCTGAGATCAAGGACAATTTGGTGAACCTTGAGCATCATATATACATCAAACTGATCATGAGCGATATACAGAACCTTTTTGAACATGTTTGAGCAAGTTTCAACGCTGAAGACATTGTGCAGGCCTTGGTTGTCAAATATTCTAAACTATAGAATGCTTTGGATGACCTAGAACGTCACTTGAGCTTCCGGCATACACGAATCCCCTAGTTAAAAAGAAAGCCCGTGTAATAGCTGTTGAACTAGAACGGGAGTATGGCATGAACATCAACCGTCCTAAGATTGGTGGGTCCGGAAGCTGCAATAACGGCAATATGGCCCGCCGTTCACACACATCTAGCTCGGAAAACGTCTCCGGAAGAAAATTTGATCGACATGATGACCGAAGTTTTGACTAGGTCTGACCCAAAACTTGCCTGTTTCTTTAACCAGAGCAGACAATCGAGAAGTACTGATGCCAGGTTCGAAGAGAGGTTGGACGAATACACCTTGAAACAAGATGACAGCGATGAAAACCATGGAAAAGCGGTTGACTCCGGTGAACTCATCGAAGAGAGTGACGAAGAACACGATGACCCCGATGAACTTAACGAGGAGAGTAATGAAGAAGAAATTTGAATGTTCCGTTGGATAAGTACCACAGATGTGTCCCTGTGGCTCATAACGCGCACGCACACACACACACACACACACACACACACACACACACACACACACACACACACACACACACACACACACACACACACACACACACACACACACACACACACACACACACACACACACACACACACACACACACACACACACACACACACACACACACATCACCCTGGCGGAGGACAGTGAGTGCTACAGGCAGAGAGAAGCCGGAAGAGTACGGAAAGTTGTGAGAGTGGAGTCATTGGCTAAGTGGCAACAGGAGTGGAACACGACGGAGAACGGTAGATGGACACATAGACTAATACCGATTCTTTCGACCTGGGTGAACAGAAAACACGGAGAAGTCAATTTCCACCTAACGCAGTTCCTGTCTGGCCACGGCTGCTTCAGGAAATACCTGCATCGGTTCGGACACGCAGCGTCACCCCTCTGTCCGGAGTGTGGCAACGTCGATGAAACGCCGGAGCATGTGGTCTTTGACTGTCCAAGGTTCGAGGCAGTGCGAACGGAGATGCCCGTCCTTAAATGGAGAGAAGAGCAGCGATCTAGCAACGCCAGCTAGCGCTGAGAGTACGACAAGTGCATGAGCACAGCCACCCCCCGAAGTAGTCGCTTCACAGTGGTCCCGGGGGGATCCAGGCAGAGGAGAGAGTAAGGAATGGGTTTTAGTGGAGCTGCACTAGGCAACTAGTGGATACCACACCGTGCCACCTTCACTACAGGCCAGGCTTCTTGAAGCTTTCCTAAACCTTACTATAAAAAAAAAAAAAAAAAAACACCCACACACACACACACACACACACACACACACACACACACACACACACACAAACACAAAGAAAAATACATGAACATACAGTAGCACAAACATATTCATTTCAAATGCTCACTAGCACCATCTAGCGAGTGAATTCCGGATTTTTCCTTGACCTCCTGATCAACTTTGCCGAAGAAATCATCCGTCTAAATAGTCAGGATCTTGAGATACAGCAGCACAAATATATTCACTTTCAATGCTCACTAGCGCCACCTAGTGGAGGAGTTCTGGATTGTTCTGTCCATCATACAATAGTCCTTGACTTCCTGATCAACTTTGCCGAAGAAATTATCCGTCTATATCATCGGTATCTTGAGATACAGCATTCAAATCATGCAAAATAGCAGATTTTAGGGCAAAACTGTGAAAAACCCCAACTTACTCTATCGTGCCCAAGATGAAACCCACTCCAATCGATTCCTGAGACTTTTTTTTTTAAGAATGACTATGTTTTAGTCTCTTGTTCCAGCGAGCACCGAAGTTATTGAATTTTAACACATTGTTTCGATTTTGTCCCCAGTGTGCATTGTTGGACGTCGAGAAGCCGTTGGACAATGTCTGGCATGATGGCCTAGTGTGCAAGCTGCATCGATACAACTTCCCGATCTACCTCGTGAAGATCATCAAAAACTACTTGTCGGACAGATCATTCCAGGTCTACTTGAACAATGTCCCCTCTGATTCGTTCAACGTTGATGCAGGGGTTCCTCAGGGTAGCCTGCTTGGGCCTATCCTATACAACATTTTCACGTCAGACGTTCCTGGTGGTATCCTGTCTATGTTCGCAGATGACACCTCCATCATCTATAAGGGTCGAGGGATCCGTGCTCTGGCGAGTAAACTACAATCAGGCCTGGATGTTCTGTACGACTATTTCAAGAGCTTGATGATTTGTATCAATGCAGCTAAAACACAAACCATTCTGTTTCCACACTCGAATTCACCTCGGCTTGTTCCACTTGCTAACGGTCCATCTTGATAGCACTCCCATTGAATGGTCGAGTGAAGTAGTCTACCTTGGTCTCACCCTCGATAGCAAATCGCTATTCCGATCCCATGTGGACAAGACATCCACCAAGTGTAACATCTTGATTAGGTCGCTCTACCCTCTGATAAACAGGAAGACCACCCTGTCCCTTAAAAATAAGCTTGCTGTTCACAAGCAGATCATTCTGCCGGCTATTGAGTATGGTATGCATGCCTGAGAGAGTTGTGCTAAGTGCCACCACCTAAAGCTTCAGAGAATCCAAAAAAAGATCCTCAGAATGATCCTTAACAGTCCACCGCGAACTCGTAATTCTGAGGTTCACCACCTGGCCGGTCTTCAAACACTCGAGGAGCGGAAAACGCTCAGCCTCGAAAGGTTCGCCTGTCTGAAATCAAATCACGAGATCATACGCAATCTTGTTAATTAGGTTAAGTTATTAGTAGCTTGGTAGATTATCAAATTATGTTTAAATTCAAGCTAAAGTAAACTAGTTGAAAAACGTAAACACATAAATTGCAATAACAAATTAAACAAAGATGAAGAGCCCTTCAGGAATGTATGAACAATGTAAAGAGGAAAAGCGCATACCCGCTTACAAATATAGCCTAATGGCGTAAAATCAGCCTTCCAACGGTCATCGGTCTGTGTTTTAAATTGTATATGAAATATCGCTAAGATATCTGCTTCAAGATCTAGCAACACTTGCCACCCGTGGGAAACAATTTCATCCATTTTTGGGACGATTTTTCCCTGGCGAAAAATACACACAATTCCTTCCCATCACGGCATTAATACTGCAGTAAAACACCACACCATTATCAGCTTCCAATCGGCCTCGATGGTGGCAATAAATTTCACTGTTGACACTGTAAATACCCGATCCATTCCCGAATGACCTGACCATCATCGTCCTCACTCCCTGACTCAAGGTTGCTTCCACTCACGTCACTATAAACAATATTTTTCGGAATTATGAAATTATTAGATGTTCAATGAAAGTGTATAGTTGTAAGTTAGAATAAGAGATTGTGAAGTATGTGTTTGATACATCAAACCTGTAAAAATCGCTATCACAGTATCACATTCAGCGATTTTATGATTCGTGAAATCGTAAAATCGCTGATTGTGACTCTCTGAAAGCGAAATTGACAGGTAATATGTATCAAACACATACTGCACAACCTATTCTTTTAACTTACAAGTACAAACTATCATTATAACATCTAATGATTTCATAATCCCAAACTGATTTGAGATTTGGGCGGAGCTGTTTTGTAAACACTGACTTCAATCACCTATTTCTCGCGAATAAAAGCTCATTCTCGCATTGTAACAACAAACTAAGGTAGGGCAGTGAGTTTGTTTGCGAGCTTTTAATCACCAGAAATCGGTTATTGAAGCCATTGTTCGCAAAACCAGTTACGCCCAAACGTCGAACCCGTCCGGAGTTATGAAACACATTTTCCTATAGCGAAGTGAGTGGAAGCAACCCTGCCCCTGCCCATCACCTAAAGCCAGCTACCATCACACACCGGCAGCAGTTCATTCACAATCAACAACATCGTTCTGATCGAGCACCACCCACACCGACCCACCGTCGCGTCAGCAGCAGCAGCAATTGCTTTCTCTTCTTTCATTCGCTTGGGCCATGTCAACTGCTCTCTAATAATCTTCTTCTATCGCACTGTGTAACTCAGCGTGACGTTTCCTTAATGACCATCTTTTTTTTCTTCATTTAGCTCACGTGATTTGGTTTAATCGGTTTTATCGAACACACACACTGCATCGGCTCACGCACCTTCCCGCCAAAGTCCCGCCAAAGGTCAAAGGGTAATTAATTTGCACCTGTTCGTGGTTGTAGTAGAGCATTCACCGCTTCACCGCTGACACTTTCACATAACTGACGGTCGAGCAGCAGGTGATGTATGGCATTGTATCTACCCCGCGGTGGATGCATCGATCGCGAGCTGAAACGAAAACAAGAGCAGAGAGAGAAAAAGGGAAGAGTGTTATTGCAAAAGGTTTTGTTTAGATTTCCTTTTCTTTTTTTATAGATTCAATATACAGTATGTGCGCTGTGTGGGTGTAATGTGTCAGAACAGAGGTGTTCTACTGTGGCGTTCTGTAGAAAGAGCTACGGTTTGACTGTGTGCCGGGTTTGGATTTCTGCTATGAATGGCTAATTATTTTCCATTGAAATGACTTGTGACCTAGTCGTACACTCCCTGAGCATTGGCATAACCTTGAGGATTGCTTAACTGCAACAAGGTCCCAAGGCTCGTCTGTAGCTTTACATTTTGAAAGATGCACATTAGTGATGTCAGTTGTGATGTAGAGGACCAACAGTTTGTTTGAATTAACTATTTTGACGTAGGACTACGTCTTTTATTTCTATATGGGGGTACACTTTGTGAAAACCGAAAATGGGACATGTAACAAATTAAGAAAGACTTTGACCGTTAATAACTAAGCTGCCCTTGGTCCCATTTCAATAATTTTATCACCAATCGATCAGAAATCGATACCAATGCTTCCGAATGTTGATTTTCAACAAGAAACTGTTGAAAAACTGGTAAATGTCCAGCATCGTCCAAAAGCGTCGAATTAACTAACAAATCCACCAATTACCTACATGCATATGCTGCTTCCCCAGCACAGTCGTCAGAGAGTAGTAAGTAGACGAAACAAGTCAAAGTGGCATTCGCCTCCGATCCTCGGGCGCGTGCGAATAAGGAGGATGGAATTGCGTAATATTTTGCACACTCATCGCCATATTCAGAACCAAACGCAAATTCTTCGAGATAACCACCATCCATCGTCTGGCTCGCCGTGGCGGTGTTAGACGTATCTCCGGTCTGATTAACGAGCTGTGCTGAAGGTGTTCCTGAAAAATGAGATCCGTTATGCTGTCACCTACACTAAACACGCCAAGCGTAAGCGGCCATGGATGTCATCTACGTTTTTAAGTGACAGAGACGCACTCTGTTTGGTTTCGGAGGTTAAATCATTACCAACATTACCAGGGCCACCAAGCTTATACAGTAAAGAGAAGGAATAGAATTCATCTGCCTGTTTGTCCATATTCATAACCAATGACCACTCAAAATGTTCATGTACTCAAACTGGAAGCAGGGGTACAAATTATTTTGATCAACCTTGATCAACTTTGAACCTCCACGGCCGTTAATTTTCGATGGAAGAAGCAACAATCTAGCATCTAATTCGACGAAGACGGCAGGAAACATTTGTGAAGCCGAGTTATTTACGAAAGAGAGTGTCGATGAAGAGAATCGATCAATGTAGATAGAACCTATTGAAAAGTGACGCGAGATTTGTTTTCCGTACTGAGCTCCAATGCTACCGACGCCAGGGAGGCAGCTCCCACACCTGGACCCTACCAATCGACCCATCAACTCAACCGGGGACCAACGGCTTCACTTCCCGAAGGAAGGCGTGATCAGAGATGTTATGCCTTAGAACATGCCGGTGGCGCCGACTGAGGTTGGACCCAGGCCTGCTGGGGTGAGAGGTAATCACGCAAGGTGATATCACGGCGAATGAAAACAACCCAAAATTTGAGTTTAGTTATCTCAGAAATAAGAAATAAAGTGCAGGAACTCAGCGATGCGTAAATTTTCCTCATGTTTTCCTAGGTTTTTCCAGGATTTTTCAGGGAAAAATTACCGAATTTAAGAAAAGTAAAGATTGGATTCACTCAGTCTATTGGTACTACTCCGAGACTGAATAAAATTTTCGTCAATTTCCTCATTTTCTGGCAGAATTTTTAGGTTTTCCACAGGAAACCATTAGACAAATTTACTCATCGCTGAGTTCCTGCACTTTTAACGATTATGAGTGAACTAAACTCAAATTTGGGTCGTTCTCATTCGCCGTGTACGCAAAAGGAAAAGAGCCAGTGTCGCTACTTGATAGCAAACTACTCATAATGGGAGGAGTCTTTGTAGCTTTTATACCACTTGGTTGCACATCATTCTGCTTTAACCTGAAAAGATATAAAAGAGCACTGCTGTATGGCATTAGTTCATCACAGAGATTCTCTGCTTGATCGTCAAGCAGTTCAGTTCGGTGTTAACTCGCTCTCTCAAGTTGTTTGAAAAGTTCGTGGCGATAGTGTTCGCGCTCTCTCTTTCGCGGTTTGTCGTGCGTGTGTGTGTGCCCCGAAATAGGGAAGCATCGGTCGCGAAGCCCGGCGAAGGTCCAGAGCCCCGGTGAAGGAAGCTCCGGTGTGCCTACCTCGAACAGGTTTGCTGTTCTCCCCATGGATGGGAATATCCAGCCAGCTGTGTTGGAAAAACGCAGCAAGAAGAGGAAGAAGAATCGAGGCCAGTCCGATGTCACTGCGACAAACGCCAGCGACATCGGTGATTTCGGCGACGCCATCGGCAACGAAAATTCTGCCGGCCCGAGTGCGGCAAAAGTGAAGCTACCTCCATTGGTAGTGAAAAATGCCCATCTTAATGAGCTCATCGCAGATCTAGCGACGCTGGGCGTTAAAGCCGAATACAAGTTGGGCAGAGTCGGCACCAAGGTGGTGCTCCGTACCCCACCCATCGTTCACCCACGACATTCCCGGTGAGAAGCCATTCAAGGTCGTCATTAGGGGCCTACCAAACTTCGACCCGAAGTTTATCGAAGCTGAAATCAGAGACCGGTACAAGCTGGCCCCAAGTCTATCGGATGACAAGGAAGAACGAAAATGTGAAGGCGTATCCGGATGGCCTTTTCCTGGTACACTTCCAGAAGGGAACGGTGACGCTCAACGTGCTGAAGGCCATCCGCTCCATCAATTCCATCATCGTCCGCTGGGAGCCATACCGTGGCGGCCATCGTGATGTGACTCAGTGCCAACGGTGTCTGAACTTTGGACACGGCACCCGAAACTGCAACATTAAGCCACGCTGTGGTAATTGCGCTCAAGAGCACGCCACTTCCGACTGCCCTGCAGATGGAGCCGTGGAGTTAAAATGCGCCAACTGTGGTGGTGCTCACCAAGGATCCAACAAGCAGTGCCCTAAACGCGACGATTTCAAGCACATCTGAAATCAGGCGTGCACCAAAAATCAACCAGCACGAAGGAAGGATAAGGCCCCGGCTTTCAGGGCGGAGGACTTTCCGCCTCTTCATGGACAAGCGAATCCAAGGGTGCGAACCCCCCCCCCCCCAAAGAAACGTCTGGATCTTCTGCTGGACAAAGCTCTCCATCCCCCCTGGATTCTGGAGACAACCAACAGCTCAACCAAATAATCCCGATCTGTTCACAGCGGATGAATTGATGGAGATTTTCATCAATATGACCGGTGCTCTACGTAAGTGCCGCAACAAGCCCGAACAGATTCAAATGCTCGGTAAGTATCCAGTATGGTGTCTAAACCGCTAACCATCGCTACCTGGAACGTTTGCTCTGTAAGAGCAAAACATATTGAGCTTGCCGACTTCCTCCGCATGCTGGAAGTCAGTCAAAGTGATTCCAATACACAAGTCTGGCAAAGATCCTACCAGTGCCAAAAGCTATCGCTCCATCAGGCTCTTGTCCTCCATTTCGAAGCTATTCGAAAAGTTGATACTCAACCGTCTGATGGTATTTTCAAATGATAATAACATATTTCTTTAAGAGCAATTCGGGTTTAGGAAAGGCCCCACTACCATCCACCAACTCGCACGTGTTACTAACATCATCAAGCGGAATAAGTCCGTTTCCAATACATCTGCCATGGCATTGTTGGACGTCGAGAATGGCTTAGTGTACAAGCTGCATCGATACAACTTCCCGATCTACCTCGTGAAAATCATCAAAAACTACTTCCATCATCTATAAGGGTCGAGTGATCTGTGCTCTGGCGAGTAAACTACAATCAGGCCTGGATGTTCTGTCCGACTATTTCAAAAGCTGGAAGATTTGTATAAATGCAGCTGAAATACAAACCATTCTGTTTCCACACTCGAATTCACCTCGGCTTGTTCCACCTGCTAACGGTCCATCTTGATAGCACTCCCATTGAATGGTCTAGTGAAGTAGTCTACCTTGGTCTCACCCTTGATAGCAAATTGCTATTCCGATCCCATGTGGACAAGACATCCACCAAGTGTAACATCTTGATCAGGTCGCTCTACCCTCTGATAAACAGGAAGTCCACCCTGTCCCTTAAAAATAAGCTTGCTGTCCGCTGCCGGCTATTGAGCACGGTATGCCAATCTGGGAGAGTTGTGCTAAGTGCCACCACATAAAGCTTCAGAGGATCCAAAACAATATCCTCAGAATGATCCTTAACAGTCCACCGCGCACTCGTAATTCTGAGATTCACCACCTGGCCGTTGAAGACCACGTTGAAGACACTCGAGGAGCGAAAGACTTCCACGCTGGAAAGGTTCAGAGTCGCCTGTCTGAGATCAAACCATCAGATCATTTGTGATTTGGAAACCTAAATTAAGTAGTTAGGTAGGTTCCTGTGCTAGCTAGGTTATGAAATTTTTAAATTCAAACGAAAACAATCCCATAAAACTGTATCCTGTAAATTAGCTTTAAACGCAATCATCACATTAGAATAACCAATTAACTAAAACGAAGATTAAGAGCCAAAGGCTTACCAATTGAAATATTAAACCAATAACGTAAATATTACGTTTTTTTTTTATTGACTTTGCACCAATGTTTTGACTGATGATGAACCATCGTTTCACGGATTTGATGATGATGAGCTTAACTT